CATACAGCATCCCTCTATCCTTCAGCCGATCTCGTCATCCCACGTCAGTTTCTGTTATGGTTTGCCAAGGGATTTGTCAGGAGCTAGCTTAGTAAACTAGCCGAAACATGTACAGTAAGACCCCTTTTCAGACGATGTAATTGGGGCCATGAAAAATATCGTCATATGGAGAATATCGCTGTAAAGGATGTGATTATCTAATCCAGCTATCTAGGCTACTTTTTACCTTTAATGCCTCTTTTATACTCCCACTTGCCGTCTTTAATCGCTCTAATACTCTCAAGGTCAGGCCAGTTTCTAGCTCGCTGTCGTAACACAGTAGTATTTGTAGCTTCGTTAGGTTTCGCAAAGGTGTTGCTCAAGGACTCGGAGACTGTGGACTGGCGTAATCGATAGCCGTACTCAGCGAAGAACCACTCAATGCACTGTTTTTGTGTTGATTTTGGGACCTGGCAGTGCGCCCATCGTCGCATGGCACGTCGTTGCTCTACATAAATTCCTTTTTTTGGCGGCATGATTGGCACCAATCTAACCAAAAAAACCTGGTTAAGACGATATTCAGAGGTCGAAGAACGATGATCGAGTAATCGGTAAATGTATGGGAGGGGAGTCCGTTCCGTAAAGTTTATCGAATAAACGGCAATATCGTCTTAACCATGATCGGCTTAATAGGGGTCTTACTGTACATAGATTATAGAGTACACACATCCGACTAGATAGAATAAACCCAAGTCTGCACACATTAGTTCATTGCTCCCAACTCACACGATTGTTTTCCTCTCACATCGCTAGTCACCCACATTTGCCATTAAGATATCATCCGCACGCTTATAACCTTAACAGTTTCCCACTCAGGGAAACTGACGATCGGACAAAGGGTTACTCAAGAGACGGTTGATGCCAATGTAACTGTTGGTAACATTCGGTGACTACGGTTTCTAGCATAAGCTTGAATACTGGCATAAATTGTTGTCCATTAGTCGTGTCTATTATTATGATTAGCATATGATTTGGAAATGTACACTTGCGCTGGAACAGCTAGAATAGTTTGTGGAGAGATAGCTTCATTAATGAGTAGGAGTGAAGTTAAGTTATGGCTTTGCCTCAACCTGGCCCTAGGTACAACAGCGTGAGTACATGTGGTACGTGCACTTTAGCAAATAGTCCCTGTCCGCCTCTGAATACTCTCTCCTCATAGCCAATCTACTTCTTTCATCTCTGCATAAGAGCTGCCTTCCTGCCACTTCCTTCTCTGGTGGTTAGTTAGTGTTAGAATTTAGAATAATAGGGGCTATCAAGTAGGCCACGTTGTTGGTACACACGTGACTACAAATTCTGTACTTAGTTTCACTTCGGTAGTAACTTAAATCAATGCGCTCTACAACCTCAATGACTGAGGGGTCATTATTTCTTTAATAGTTAGTATAATAATTTTTATGTTACAGATTGGGGGAAGCTCGTCCCTTATCCCCTAGCTTGTTCGCTTGTAGACCAATCACGTAGCCAGTATGCAGCTCAGCAAAGTGTGCTCCCAACTGAGCATCTATGCCATTTGTCCTATATCAAAAACCCATCTCTCATACTGCACATAGTAGTACTTGTAATGTCGTTATGTAGAGACTCGAAATCCTTCATGCGCCATAGTAACTACCCATGCACCAGCTACCTGATCTACCATACTACATAGCTGAGCATAACAATAACCGCACCTCAATTTGATGCTTTGAATCCCATGAGGCCCAAATTTCATCTCTTGTTACCATCATTTTACTTATCTTCAGCTATATAGCTATGATACATGCCCGGTGCTACATATACATGCGGGATGACTCTTTTGACGTTAGAGACACTCATACTCTGGACCTCATTCGCAAATACCACTATTAGGGGTTTTTTTTTGCATCAGATTTTAATTGCGTATGCAGCTATCTAGCTATAACACAATATCGGAGAAAAGGTACAGAATAGATGACTCAATTTACAAGAAGAGCACTGATGCCTCAGATTTCATTTGCAAGTACCACTGCGAAGTTATGGCGGCTTTTTCTTCACCCCAAGTCAACCCTCATCCGTGAATACCTACCCAGGGGAACATCTCAAAAACCCTGAGTCATCCAGACATGCCTCCGTCATCCATTAACTTTCCTCCGCGCGAAATGTAATCTGAGATGTCTCCTTCCCAAGTGGAGTAGGTGCCCAGGCTACTCAAACTATACCAGAGAACACTACCATGAGGCGGATCACAACACCTTCCATCGTCGGCTTGTTTTTATAGTGTCAGCTGCACTCTCACAAGCGAAGTCTTGGCGCGCACAAAGCTCAGTTCGTAAAACTCTTGCCAAAATTCGAAATTTCACGCACGTCGAAAACGTATCCCTCTTCTGCATCATCTTGTAAACTTGTCCTGATCCCTCTCACGTCCATCGCAAAGAGCTGTCTCCCAGATTTGTGCTCCACGCTTTGCTTCCTCCGTCGGGTATAAATATCGGCGTGGGCGTGTATTTGGTGGTCGAAGCCAGAGAAAGTCGACGAGAGGTGTGATCATTGGAATGAGGATGTACTAGGTCATACTCGTAGACTTGATGAGGCTTAGGTACGATTAGATCTTTTTGGGAGTGAAAATTTGACGTGGTGGAGTAATTTGAATCATTGCCTCGAGGGCCAACTTGTTCGGTTTTGCGAAATTTGACTGAACTTGGCTCTGGGAGAATATTCCACTCCCAGGTTTGTAGAGGACACCGCGTACAGGTGTTCAATCTTGCCCTCCACTATTAGGTACGTTTGCATACACAAACAGGCGACCTTCCTCCGTAAGCACCCACCAAAGGGGCGTTTCAAAACCTTTGGTTATCCAAGCATACCAGCGCCACGAGAATATAGTTAAGTTCTGCCGGATTTGAAACAGCGATCAGCTGTCTCGAGTGGGATTTGTGTCCCAGCTATTCAGACTCTACTTTGGAGACCGAACTAGATAATGTACCACCGCACCATCCAACTATGGCGGTGGTTACAGTGTCAGTTACACTCTCGCAATCGAAGTCTTGGCGCGTGTTATTGTCATAGCTCAATATTAATTCATTTTATTGTCCTGTCTGAGTCTATGACTATGTAGGACATGCAGGTCCTCTCTGCCTACAGGCTAAGGATACCTTTACCAGTAGTATATCCCCTCCTATGCCTCCCATACAGCTCCCCTCACAAGTCCTCATTCGATCATACACTAAGAGAAGCCCTTTGCCCTTCATTATCTCCCCTCTTCAGCCAACAAAATGATGGCCATTTGCGGGTGTATGGCAGCCGGTGTAAAGGGACGAGAATCACGGACGCTGCACGCAAAGGCTGTCACAAAATAATCTATATTTTTATGAAGAGAACACTTCAGTGGGACAGAGCCAATGTAAGGTGTGTGCTGATGACAACCTTACATAAGCACTTACTAAGCGTCTAACCTGTTGCAATAGACAGGCCTATTTACCACATCCCACTTACATGCAAGGCTGGGCCAGAAAGTCAGCCCAGCCAACTAACACCGGCTAAAACCCGTAACAGCCGGGAAGAATCGCAAAAACCACTGGGTGCGGAGGTCTTCTTATACCGACATTAGGACTAAATCCGAAGACATAGTGACCCTTCTGAAGCGTTCGAAGAGGCCGGCTCGCTGGGCGCTGCAGACTTGTAGGTACTTCGGAGAATTCACACTCTGCCTGTCATAGCTCAATAGCTGAATACAATATGAATTAAAAAAAAGTCTTGGCACTCACAAAGCTCAATTTTTATGACTTCTTGTCAAACATGTTGAAATTGGTGCTTCCAATTATGGTAAAGACAGGGATGTGTAGAATACAAATTACTAATCTCCCATTAATTGTGAGGTTAGTATTAATGCGCTTTGACGTAAATACCAACCACTAGATTTTATTATTACAAAATATAGTTTATATAGCACTCTGTGTCCTAGTGGGAGTAATTAACAACTCTCCACGACAGATTTACAGACTCCTTTACTTTCCCACTCGCTTCACCAAGTGATACAATCTGTGCCTAACAGCCACAAGCTTTTGCAAACCAATCCGCTCAACAAAACATTCGAAAAATCCGCGCCAGTCGAGATTGTATCCATCCTCTGTATCATCTTTTAAACTCGCCCAGATTTCTCTCACACCTACCCCTAGAGAACTGTCTCTCGGATTTTTACGCCACGCTTTGTTTCCTCTGGCGGGCACAAATACCGGCGTGGGAGTGTATTTGGTAGCCATCTGAGGTCAGAGAATAGCCAATGTGGGAAGTGGTCAATGAAATAAGGTTGACCTTGCAGGCTTGATGAGACTTTGGTGGTTATGGATCTTGTGAGTGAGAAATTGATTTGGAATGGAATATCTAATCATTGCCGTATGGATCAACTTCTATTGTGCGAATTTGGCTGAACTTAGCTCTGGAGAATATTTAACTTCTAGGCTCGTAGAGGGCATCTAGTACCGATGTTCAGTCTCTATCCTCCGATAGTCTAAATCATGTAGCATAGTAATAATTAATCTAATCCTCAATGTTTGTAGAGCCTAAACAGCTAGGCTTATCCAGTAGAGCCACGGGCTGCAAGGCCCACTGCGGAGTTTATTCAGGGGTATTGGGTTTTATGATAGAGATTAGAAACTGTGTTGCATTAAATGTGGTTGATGACCGGCAACAATGACCACCCAAGAAAGTCCAAAATACGATATTTACAAATATATACAAAGTACGGCACATATATCATGTATGGAACGTTTGCATTAAATTTCTGTAATTGCTCTCTCTATTTTTATCCCGGTATGAATAATATCTGAAGGCTAGACACAAAAATTGTTGATTTTAGATATTTTAGATATTCAAGATAATCTTTTTCGTAACTCCGGCACGCCTTTCGTACTGTATGACCGAAGTTTAAACTGAAGCCGGATTATACTCGCATCTTGTCCTGCAATTCCAATAAACGTAAATTGAATAAATCCTTTCCATCAAGATTATATGTTATCTTGGTGCATATTTTCGGTAATAGAAATAATGCCACCGAGCCTATACATAGGAGATGTGGGTGGAGAAGTGCCACTGAGATGCTTGAAAGCAACCTCCGCAGCATCTTCCATTGCATTATTGACGTTTTTTCCGTCGTACCAGAATCGAGCGGATATGTATTGACCTTGGACCTTAACTACACTAGACCAAGCTGTACGACCGCCTATAATTTTTCATTTAACGTGAATGAATGCAGTGGGAAGAATAAGGCTTACCCCTTATCTCAGACATGACCTGGAAAACAGGAGGTTCGATTCGCACTTCTTGACATTTTTCTGGAGTAGTGATCAGCCAAGTCCATTTCGTTCCATTTACATTGATATACCTATAAGTCTTTCTCTCCATGGGCTTGAAAGGAAAGGATGAGTCAAACACGACATCCTGATGTCTTTTACATAGAATTTTATATTAGATACAAGAGACGTAGTTGATTTTCGAAAGGACCGTACCGTAAGAAAATGTTATAGCAAGATTTATTAACTAAATACTCTAAGTCTGTTGGAATTGTCTATGAGAGTTGGTCACTAAGGCACCAATTCTGTTCAGGGTTAAATTCGTATGTTCAAAGAGAGCCGTTAGCTGCATACCCGCGAATCAATATCGCTGCAACACGGCAAGTAGTTGTTTCGGCATAGTGCATCACAAAAAAGAGATGTGAAATCATGGAAGCTGTGACGATATTCTACCCAAAGTGTGCTGAAAAATAGCTGTCGGATGCTAACGAGTTGTGTACAACCAGAACTGCCGAGTGGGCTCGTAAAGTTGCACAAGACTATGAAAATGTAGAACATGAAATTCGTAGGTTTGTATGCTTTTCATTGTCTATGAATTTATAAATATAGATACAGGTGAATGAATGAGTTAGATTACGGCCCGGAAACGATAAAATGAATGAATAATAATAATTCGACGGCCCGCAAGTATCTTGCTTAGGTCTAATAGATAATCAGATCTGATCGATATAGAGGCAGGCGAATGGATCATCGTTTAGTTAGTGGAGATGGCTCCATGCCAAACCCGCCCCGACTGATAAACTTCCGAATGTGAACCCTTGTTAATTTTCAGCATGATAGACCATCAAATCAGATAGATGCAAGTCCTGCTACCGACGCCGTTAATTTGCAAGGCGACAAGAGCTATCCATTCGTTGAGGCGGGGTGCCAGGTGGAGGCGATTGATACCGACATGCTATTAGATAATTGTTGTAGGGCTTAAGAGGATCTCCGTGTCAGACAGTGGACTGAGAGGTTCATCTTTGCCGGAATCTTTCATTCTTGCTTTTCTTGAAAGTCCGACCCCAGAATTGCTGAGCTCGGTAATACAGGGGCTTCAAAATTATCCGAATTTTGAGGAACGATACCTTGGGACTGGAAATTCCATAATTTGGATCGTCATCTTCTGGAATAATTTGCCGGTGATACCCGCCATCCCCCAGGGTTTAATTAAGCATTACCGATGCCGTTTCCAAATTCTCCGATAGTCTTTGCTTGTGTCCAGTGTTTATTGGAGATGACAGATGCGGTAGACGGCATTCCAATTTTTAGAAAGGTTGTTAAAATTCTCAAGTAGTATGGTTTTGTTACTTGCCGTTCAAGCGGATAGTATTTTGGCAGATGACAGTGCAACCGACCCTGCGATATGATTCCAAATATTTAGAGTCGTATCATCCAGGGTCTCGCACTCTCCCACGAACACGCCATTGATTTGAACCTTGGGAGGTTATGTCAAGGTTTGGGCGTAGACAGATGACCGTTTGGTAAGTCATTTCAGAATTGTTCTCTGCCGCCATATAATCAAGAATATATTGCCAGAATTCTTCCCGTCGCTGATTCGATTGGTGGCCTCATAAATTAGTCAACTAATTGGCTCACAATCAGAGACACATCAGTTTTGTTATCACTGCCTTGTCTAACACAATATATCGGCTCATCTACGAGTGACCCGTAAAACATTAGTATATCCCTGTTGTAGATGAGTCTAGTCGCTTCCATGAACCGTAGGCACGGGTTACACTGCATGCATGCATCATTACAACTAAGGGGCGATCTGGTCTTAGTTTGAAATTTGGGCCTGGCCCATTAGGTTTTTCGGAAAGGATATTCCGGGAAGACGGAGGCTTTGTTACGATGGCCTGAGCTGTGACTAGAAGTGACATTGGATAACTGAGACGTCACTTGCTCACCTATTTTGTTTCCACATAACAAAAGCCACTTCAGAGATATTGTTATGCCACCCGATTCAGTTTACATGACCCTAACTTTAAATTTAGGCTTTTACTGTGAATGAGGATGTCCGAAATTGATGTAGATTAGTAAGCCGCGATTGGCAGCGCAGGAGGGCGGGACCGAACACCTGTACGCGGTGTCCTCTACGAACCTGGGAGTGAAAGATTCTCCCAGAGCCAAGTTCAGTCAAATTTCGCAATATCAAAGAAGTTGGCCCACGAGGCAAAAATTCGAATTACTCCACCACGTCAAATTTTCGCTCCCAAAAAGATCGAATCCTACCTAAGCCTCATCAAGTCTACGAGTACGACCTAGTACATCCTCATTCCAATGATCACACCTCTCGTCGACTTTCTCTGGCTTCGACCACCAAATACACGCCCACGCCGATATTTATACCCGACGGAGGAAGCAAAGCGTGGCGCACAAATCTGGGAGACAGCTCTTTGCGATGGACGTGAGAGGGATCAGGACAAGTTTACAAGATGATGCAGAAGAGGGATACGTTTTTGACGGGCGTGAAATTTCGAATTTTGGCAAGAGTTTTACGAATTAAGCTTTGTGCGCGCCAAGACTTCGGTTGCGAGAGTGCGGACGACACTATAAACACCGCCATGGTTGGATGGTGCAGTGGTACATCATCTTGGCCGGTCTGCCAAGTAGAGTCTGGATAACTGGGACACATATCCTACCTGAGACAGTAGATCGCTGGTTCAAATCCGGCAAAACACAACCACTTTTCTCGCGGCGCTGGTATACATGGATGACGAAGGCATGCTTGAATAGTCAAAGGTTTTGAAATTCCCTTTGTTAGGAACCTACGGAGGAGGGTCGGCTGTTTGTGTAAGCAAGCATACCTCATAGTGGTATTTGCGAATGAAATTTAGAGTATGAGTGTCTCCAACTTCAGAAGAGTTATCACTTATGTATCCATGGCACCGTTCGTCTGTCATAGCTATATAGCTGTGCACACATTAAATGATTTAAGAAAAAGAATAAAAACAAAAAATACTCGGTACGTGAAAAGCTCACGTGCTGTGCGCGGGCACGAGGTTAAATATTATAAAGAAATAAATACGGTACCTGAATGGTATAAATGAAATCAAATCAGACTTGCTTCATATTTATGTTTAAGTTAGCTTCTTATCTCACGAGATGATATAATTAACCAGATTTGGTCTCGTTGACCTTCTTCCTTTTCTTTTAAATCATTAATGTGTATGCAGCTATCTAGCTATGATACATGATCGGTGCTATGTATACATGTGGGATGACTATTTAGACGTTGGAGACACTCATACTCTAAATTTCATTCGCAAATACCACTATGAGGTATGCTTGCTTACACAAACAGCCGACCCTCCTCCGTAGGTTCCTAACAAAGGGAATTTCAAAACCTTTGACTATTCAAGCATGCCTTCGTCATCCATGTATACCAGCGCCGCGAGAAAAGTGGTTGTGTTTTGCCGGATTTGAACCAGCGATCTACTGTCTCAAGTGGGATATGTGTTCAAGCTATCCAGACTCTACTTGGCAGATCGGCCAAGATGATGTACCACTGCACCATCCAACCATGGCGGTGTTTATAGTGTCGTCCGCACTCTCGCAACCGAAGTCTTGGCGCGCACAAAGCTTAATTCGTAAAACTCTTGCCAAAATTCGAAATTTCACGCCCGTCAAAAACGTATCCCTCTTCTGCATCATCTTGTAAACTTGTCCTGATCCCTCTCACGTCCATCGCAAAGAGCTGTCTCCCAGATTTGTGCGCCACGCTTTGCTTCCTCCGTCGGGTATAAATATCGGCGTGGGCGTGTATTTGGTGGTCGAAGCCAGAGAAAGTCGACGAGAGGTGTGATCATTGGAATGAGGATGTACTAGGTCGTACTCGTAGACTTGATGAGGCTTAGGTAGGATTCGATCTTTTTGGGAGCGAAAATTTGACGTGGTGGAGTAATTCGAATTTTTGCCTCGTGGGCCAACTTCTTTGATATTGCGAAATTTGACTGAACTTGGCTCTGGGAGAATATTTCACTTCCAGGTTTGGGAGTGAAATATCGACATGGTGAAGTTGTTATGATGTGAAATCACTCGTCCAGTTAGACAAGCTGTATTAGATGATATAGAGATCTATACAAGATGTGGCTGGTGTAGTGACATCATAGACAGTTGCATGTGGATGATAAGAACAAGAATATAAACTATTCTACAGCAAATGATAGAATATCTTACATCACAACATGGAATAATCTACTAGCAATTAGACAGAAGAGCTTTAGATCTAAATACGAGTATTCTACTTCATATAGATAGCAATCACCAGGAAACGAATCTAATAAAGCGAACATATATCATCGTCCACTTCATAATAGTGTCAAGCCCATATTGATAAAGCTACTGTTTGTATGCAATTCCCCTCATAATTACAATAGAAGTAGCTTGAATCATTCCTTCGTCTACCAACTTGTTCGGTGTTGCGAAATATGACTCATCTTAACTCTGGGAGAATATTTCACCCCCAGACTCGTAGAGGACACCGCGTACAGATGTACGGTCTTGCCCTCCATAGATGGTGCTCATGGTAGTGCGAGGATTGGTAATGATGGACAAGTATAGGAATCGTATATATATATATTATTAAGGAAATAATGACCCCTCAGTCATTGAGGTTGTAGAGCGCATTGATTTAAGTAACTACCGAAGTGAAACCAAGTACAGAATTTTCAGTCACGTGTGTATCAACAACGTGGCCTACTTGATAGCCTCAATTATTCTAAATTCTAAATTCTAAAATATATATTTATACATATATCTCACACTTGACTCCTCTTTAATATGATGATACTTCCGACTACATTCAGAATGCTCACAACTACTTTAGGCTAATCTGGCTGGATGGTGCAGTGGTACACCGTCCAGGCCGTTCTCCCAAGTAGATACTGGGTAGCTTGAACACCTACCCCATTCGAAACAGGAGAAAGCTGGTTCAAATCCAGTAAAACCCACACACCACACTCTCTCGCGGTGATATTGTACTTGTGGGATGATTAAAGCACACAAGAATAGCCACAGGCTTTTCACGCTTTTCCCTGTGGTGGGTATGCATGGAAGACTTTATACACCGTAAGGTTTAACCTCGAGTGGTATCTGCAAATGAA